TTGTCCATGTGAGATCTGGTCTCCTCTGTGCAATGCTTAACCCAGGTCTAACCTGGACCCTCACAGCATGTTCTGTCCGAGAAGACTCGAGGGTGAGGACTCGGTTTCTTCTCTATGGTCCTTTGGACCTTCCTCAGTGGAGACTGAGAAGCAGAAAGGCCTTGAGACCCTCAACGTCCCAGGCCTGGAGCAGAAGCTGCCACTGCAGAGGCGCTGGACACCTGCTGTGAACGAGCTGTTTTTCTGCAGATGGCTAAGTAAGACGGGTTGAGAAATAGGGATTTTAGCTCTGAGTCGTCGATCTTTCTGCTTGTGTTGGGTGACTCATCGCTCTGTCTTTCTACGTTCAGATCTGGAAGCTTTCTGGAAAGAAACTTCTTATTGGTTAATAGTGTGGGCAGTTGATCTGGGTCAGTGGGGAGGGGCCCCTTTCTGAAACTATTTCCTAAGAAAATGTTATTCATTTCAGTGCAAACAGTTGCCTTTGACAAAGAAAAAAGTGTGATTCAGCTGGGGATTGAAAGATAGAAGAGCAGTTGGTGACTGTATTAAGGTGGCTGGATTACAAAGGGTCGGCTGTGCAGTTCAAGTCCCAGACCCGGTGACTTGAAAATCACATCGGGTACGTGTGAGTGCACACGCAAAATCTCAAGAGGAGAATGCAGGAGAAGGGACTGCGTCTTGGCCCTCCCCCATGGGGGGCATTTTTCACTTTCTCTGGTGAGCACATGTACCCAATAGCAAAAAGGAAAAAGCAAGATACATTAAATTTTAATACTTATCAGCTGATCCATAATGGGTGGAGTCATGTGTAACTTAAAATGATTTATTTAAAAGATACCTCTGTTTCCTAATGTCACCTACTATGAAGCCACCTATGAAGGTAAGCCTATGAACCAGAGCAAGTAGCTAACATAGTGCTGAATGCCAACATCCAAGGTTCTCAATGCAAGTGCTCATTGGCATTCCCAGTGGTTCAGACCCACCTTGGTGGGACCACCCCAGAGTCTCAGATAACGGGTTTGGGGTAGAACCAAGACTATACTTTTCCACACTAGCCTCCGTGCTGCGACCTCTCAGCTAGAACTCAAGCTGAGGAAAGAGCAGGTCCCTAGATGGCTCAGGGGAATATTAGAAATAACAGGTGCCCCTGGGACCAGCAGTTGGCGTAATGGCTATGTCTCTGGACTCTCATGTAGTCGACCCCACTTTGAGTCCCGGACCTTGTGGCTTAAACTCACACCAGGTGCATGTGTGTGTGTGTGCTCAAGATCCTGAGAGGAGAATGGAGGAGATGGGATTGTGGCGTGGCCTTCCCCCCTGGGGGATGATTTCTCGTTTCTGTCTTTCTGTCTCTCTCTGCCTTCTTGGTGAGTGCACGTGCCCTATAGCAAAAACCTCTTCCAAAAAAAGAAAAAATAGCAGGTGCTCTTAGGCCACCGGGCAGATCACGTCTCTGGGTCTGTGTAAGGGGCTCAGTAAATACTGGTACGATTGGCTGAGGAATTATCTAAGGCAGGTTCACACTTATCATTAGGACAGGGTTCTTAGCTGACAATTCCCACATTACCGTTTTCTTTTCCTCACTCAGCTTTTCCACATAGGCCCCCATACATGTGAGTCCACTGCTTGGAAACCTACATCTCTCTCTCTCTCTCTTTCTCTCTCATTCAAACACACACACACACAGATGAGGACTGCTTGTGAAACCTGAGCTGTGTTCTGAATCTTGTTGCATTAATAAGAAAACAGCATACTTGATTTTGCCTGGCCGGATTTAGAACAAATTAAGTTGGTTTTTTTGTTTTGTTTCGTTTGAGTCCCAGATCTGGCAGGTTGAAACCCACACTCGATGTGTGTGTATGTGTGCCCAAAATCCTGAGAGGAGAATGGAGAAGAAAGGATTGAGGCATGGCCATCCCCTTTGGGGAGGGGAAGTGATCTCTAACTTTCTTTCTCTCTGGTGAGTACACACACCCTATAGCAAAAATCTCTCCAAAAGAAAAAAAAAAATTAAAAATAAGTAAAGTAATGTAGTAGGGATTTTCAAGACACTCCAGAGGAGGAAGACTGGTAAACAGGAAAGATGAAACTGGACGAGGTGGGGTGAGCCCTGGTGTTCCTGAGAGTGCCTCAGATTGGGAAGATGTTTCCAGGTCAGCTTCACCTGCTAGTCAGCCAAGCTGACCCTCTCATGACCGGACAGGCCCCTGGGTTCTCTCTGCACACACACAAAAGTGCATTGAAGTGCTGCCCTCAGCCCAGCCTACATGGCTCTTATCTGTTGCACTGCAGTGCTGGAGGTCATGTGGCCGATCGCTGGTTCCGATCCCCAGGTCAGCCTGACAGCATACTGGGTGCACTCAGTTGCCCAAGATCCTGCAGATTGTGAGGGCAAAATGGAATCATGGCGTACTGAGATCCTTTCCAGGGTGCCTGCCTTTGTCTCTTTCACGTTGCACGGACTGTTGTTAAAATTAAAAAAAAAAAAAAAAAAATTCTCCTCTCACTGCTGCTTCTATGCCTGCCACACGAGCCAAGAATTACATCTTGGAAATGAAAATCATTTGCAAACCAGTGGGAGTATAAATACCTCCACTATGAGATAAAGCAGGACTTCAATCACAGCTGCAGTGTCCAGAATTCCAGCAGCCAAGATGGTAAAGGAATGGGAATAAAAAAGAAAGAAAAGAGCTTAAAGAGAAGCCCTCAAGCTGCAGAATAGGATTAAATAAGAATAATGGCCAGAATTATTTAAAATAAAAAAAAGATGAAAGGATACTGTGGCCATGCCACAATCACTCCTCCTCCAGTCTCCTCTCAGGATTTTGGCCATGCATGCACATGCACGCGCGTCATGATCTTATTTTATCATTGCTTTGTTTATTTTTTTAAAAAAGTATTTTATTTAACTTTCTTTTTATTTACTTATTTTTTAAATTTGACCAGGGAGGGCCAGAGTGAGAGAGAGAGAGAGAAAGTGAGAAAGCAAGCCTCCAGGTCTGGGACTCGAACTGCTTTTGGCCATGTTCAGTGCCCCCTATCACCATGCCTCCTGCTGGCCTATTATTATTATTATTATTATTATTATTATTATTATTGTTATTATTATTTTGGAGAGGTTTTCGCTGTAGGGCGCGTCCGCTCACCAGACAGAGAGACAGACAAAAAGCGAGAAATCACCCCCCAGGGGGGATGGTCACGCTGCAGCCCCTTCTCCATTCTCCTCTCAGGATCTTGGGCACACACGCACACACGCACACGCGCTGGGTGTGAGTTTCAAGCCACCAGGTCCAGGACGCGAACCGCGGTCGATTATGTGGGAGTCCAGCGACACATAGCCATTACACTAACTGCTGGTTCCCATTATTTTTTTTAAAAGAGAGATTTTTGGTATAGAGTGCATGCATTCACCTGAGAGACAGATAGAAAGTAAGAAATCATCCCTGGGGGAGTGACCACGTCACAGTCCCCTCTCCTTCATTCTCCTCTTGGGATCTTGGGCACGTATGCACACGTGCCCAGCGTGAATTTTAAATCGCTGGATCTGAGACTCAAACCACAGTCAACTGCATGGGAATCCATTATGCCATCTGCTGGTCCTGCACTTGGCATGATTTTTCAAGCTACCATATCCAGGACTCGAACCACAAGAGTTGGCCATGTGTGGTCCAGCTGTCTTAAACTCTATGCCACCCACTGGCCTGAGTGGCTAAAATGGTGATGTATTTCTTTTCAGCAGTTTTTCTGTGCTCTTTATGAATGAATGATGGCAAACAATAAGAGCTGCTATTTCCTGTGTTCTCACTATGCGATGGGCCCAGTTCCGGGTGGTTTTATACCCTGGGTATTTACATGGTCTCTTTAGCGTCACTATGAGGGAGTTACTGCTGCTCTACTTGACAGAGTGGGAAGTTGAGGCTTGGAGGGGTTAAGAACTTGCAAACAAAATCAATAAATATCAGAGTTTTATTTAGAGACGTTTTTGCTATAGGGCGTGTGCACGTGCGGGGGAGACAGAGAGACATAAAGTGAGAAATCAACCCCTGCAGGGAATGGTCATGCCACAGTCCCTTCTCCTCCAGTCTCCTCTCAGGATTTTGGGCACGTACGCACACGCACCTGGAGTGACTTTAAGCTGGCAAGTCCAGGACTCGAACCGCAGTTGGCTACGTGGGAGTCCAGTAATATAACTGTTAGGCCATCTGCTGGCCCCAATGCCAGAGTTTTGATAAAACTCCAGGCAACCTCACAGCCTGCCCTACGAATCTCTGTGCTGCCTCTCACTATGTTTCTAAAGTTGAGGTGATACCATATAAACGACATAGAAAATTTCGATTCCTACTTTTTTAGTGACCATTACACGTGGACAGCCCCCTAAACTCTGCATAAATTGTCTGGTTATTTGTTTCTCCCAGAAACACTTTGTACTGACAACAGCCAGTGTCTGTCTGCAGTTGAGAAAGTTACAGACTTGAATTATACAGAGATTTAAACTAATAAACAGACATATGAAGATATTTGCTGTTATTATCAATAATAATAGTTATTGGGGACCAGCAGGTTGTGTGGCTGACCATGGTTCGAGTCCCGGACCTGGCGACCCGCTTTCTTGCTTTCCCTCTCTCACATTCTGCTCTCTCTCTGGTGTGTGCATGTGCTCCGGAGCAAATTAAGTAAATAATGATAAATAAAATGAAATAAATAATGCCTACAATGCATAGTTATTAAGTAAGTTCATTAGAAGATAAAAATTCTTTTAAAATAGGGATTTAAACATTTTCTCAGCAACACCTCTTACTTATGATTCATTGTATTCCTTGTTTCTTGTGACCCGCACCTAGTTTATTCTAATGCATATTAAAACACGAGTTTTAAGTGCGGTGGTAGAGCAATCTGTTTGATCCAAATGAACAGGATTTGCTGGTTCGGCCCTTTCTTTACATGTAAGTGGTTTAGATGAAAAATGACCGTTCCGGAATGTTCTTCTCCCTCTCCAGATTACTCAGAGCTGGGAGAGCTTCCCCCACGCTCTCCTTTGGAACCAGTTTGTGAAGACGGACCGTTCGGCCCTGTGCCAGAGGAAAGGAAGAGGACGTCGCGTGAGCTTCGAGAGCTGTGGCGGAAGGCTATTCTCCAGCAGATCCTGCTGCTCAGGATGGAGAAGGAGAATCAGAAACTGCAAGGTCGGTTTGCCACTTAGATGTCGCACAGACTGTAGAGAGGGCAGCTCTCTGTGCCCTGAGACCCACAGAGAAGATCTGTTTTTCTTTTTTTAAAGAATTATTTATTTAATTTTTATTTATTCATTCATTTATTTTAATTGGACCAGAGAGAGAGAGAGAGGGAAAGTAAGAAAGTAAGCCACCAGTTCTGGGACTCGAACCATAGTTGGCCACGTGGGAGTGTCCAGCACCTTAGCCACCACGCCACCTGTTGGTCCCGATAGAGAAGATCTTTACACATCTTGGCTCTAAAGCAAATTGCGTCAGACATATAAACATGCTGTCTTTTAAAAAAAGACAAGATAGTCTAAAACACATACTTACCTATGTAATACTGTTTACTTTTTTGAAGTACTATGAACACTTTACTTTCTGCAGATTTAATGATCATCTCACCAACTTTATTATTAGTAGTACATTATTATTACTATTCTTTCATGTTCATTATTAGCAAAAAATCTATTAATAGACTTTCTCAGACACAAACTTCAAGTATAATCTCTAACCCTCTGATAAGTATTATTTTCTTTATAAATTGGCCCTATATAAGTCTTAGAAATTCATAATGTCCCATGTGTTCTTCATGAATTGAGTTAAATTGAGAAAACATTAGCTGAGCTCTACCTCTGCTGATACAAACAATATTAAAATGTGACACAAAGTGTGGAAGTTTAGGTTTTATTTCCTGTTTCCATAGTGACACTTGAGTCAGTAAATATTGTCTTTTATTTTAGAGAATTATTTATCTGAGACCAGCAGATGGCATAATGGTTATGTCACTGGACTCCCACATAGGTGACTACAGTTTGAGTCTTGGACCCTGCAGCTTTAGACTTACACCAGGCACATGTGCATGTATGCCCAAGATCCTGAGAGGAGGCTGGAGGAGAAGGGATTGTGACATGGACATCCCTCCAGGGGGTGATTCCTCATGTTCTGTCTTTCTGTTTCCATCTCTCCGGTGAACACATGCACCCTATGGTGAAAATCTCTCTTTAAATAAAAAAAAAAAAAGAAGAATTATTTGCTTTTATTTATTTTTATTATTTTTTTATTTGCTATAGGGCATGTGCACTCACCAGAGAGACAAAGAGAAAGAGAGAAAGTGAGAAAGCAAGCTGCCAAATCCGGGACTCGAACACAGTTGGCCATGTGGGAGTTCAGCACATTAATAACCATGCCACCTGCTTGCCCTAATAAATATTATATTAAAAAAAGCTTAAGAAGCTAAGTTTCTGTCCTCCCTGGAAAGAGCATGGGTCTTAGGGCATACAAAGAAAGCTGCCCTTCTATAACATCAAGTAATGGAGATTTTGAGCAGTGCGAATATACTCTTTCTCAAAGGGAAGCTGTACCCAGTGGTTCAGTCAGTGGCCATTCCACCAAAGCAATTTTGGAATTAGAATTCATTTGAGCAAATATTTGTCTTTTTTTTTTTTTCAGACAGATTTTTGCTATAGGGCATGTACACTCACCAGAGAGTCAGAGAGACAGAAAGCATCCCCCACCCCACCCCCGCCTCCCGGGAGGATGGCCACACCACAGTCCCTTCTCTTCCCCTTCTCTTCCATTCTCCTCTCAGGATCTTAGGCACACATGCACACATGCCTGGCGTGAATTTTAAGTCACCAGGTCCAGGACTCAAACCGTGGTCAACTATGTGAGAATCCCGCAATGTAGCCATTACGCCAGGTGCTGGTCCCGAATTTTAGCTTTTTAATAATGCCCTTGATGTTTGTATGGAGCTGAAAGTCATTAAGACACCAGACCTGATGGAAAGCTCTCGAGAACACGTTGCATGCTGGGAGGTCCAGTCATGCAGAGCCCTCAGCTGCCCTGATCACAGTGGCACAGAGGTGGGCACCTTCTCTGCGCGTGTCCACTGAGCCATGAGAGCGCTGTGCATCAGCACCATCGTTTCTGCAGCTGAGAAAGTTACATCACAGTGGCACAGAGGTGGGCACCTTCTCTGTGCGTGTCCACTGAGCCGTGAGAGCGCTGTGCATCAGCACCGTCGTTTCTGCAGCTGAGAAAGGTACGGGTTCAGGAACTAGGAAGACGTAAAGGGTCAAGATGAGGTATATCATTTTTTAGCCAAAAACAAGGAAGATGGAAAGTGGTAAGACCTTTGAGGTGAAATAGTCCAGCAGTCAGAACAGGCTGTTTGGGAGTGGAGCCAGCTGTCCAGACACCACGTGGAAGCTGGGTGGGACAGTCGTCCATCAGGGTGCTGCACAGGTGGCCCAGTGAGGAGTGTTTGGTGCAGGCGAGAGCTAAACTTTCTGCCAGTTCTCTTTTTCTACCTTTTTGGTGTGTTCCTGAAGGCAATTCTAAAAGCAGATGTCTACAAGATGATTGGTAGTGATGGCATTACGAAGCACGTCATCAGCTGAATGACGGCTCTGGAGCATGGCATCAGTTTCCAGGGTTATCCTGGGCTTTTTGCTAAAGAGCAGAAAGGCAGTCATGCTCGCCGTGTTGGGGAGAACCCTTAATGCTTCTGTGCTGGCCAGTTGTCCTGCAAATGACGTGCCCAGCCGTGAAAAACCAGGGCATTGCTGTGAGACAGGAGTGGTGCTGGAGGCTTCTGGGACTACAGGAGGAGCCGTGATGGTGCTGGTGAGGCGAGCGGGGTCTACACAGAAGCACAGGACACGCTG